CGGGCTCAGAGAGGAACGTCTCAGCACAGGCGCTCAGGGTCCTGGAGCCCACACTGCTCAGGGGGCTTAGTAGCACCCTGCTGGCTCTTCCCCAGCACAGGGCTCCCAGCACCCATGCCAGGGGGCTAGGGGTGCTCCCCTGGCACAGGGCAGATGTGTGGGCTTCAGACTTCCCTGCTCGGGAGTGGCTGGGGGACAGGCACATGCTGCCATGCCCCTTCCTCTGGGCTGTCACAGGCGGGAGGGACCAGGAGCATCCCACCCGCCAGCTATTGGGCTGAGGTGGATGTCAGCAGAAATCCAGCTCTGAATGCCTTCAGTTCTCTCGCCTTGAGGCTAACCCTAACCCTGGCCTGAAACCCGGCCTTAATGCAAATGCCAACCTCAACCCTTATCCAAACCCTCCTGTTCATATGGACCGGAACCCGTGGCACTGGTCCTAACACTAACTTTAACCCTAACCCTAAACCTAACACAAAACCTGACCATAGCCCTAACTGTGAGTCTAATGCTAACCCCAACCCTAACCCTAATGCTGACCCTAACATAACCCTGACCCTAATATGCTGACCCTAATGTTGGCTGCAGTGGAGCCCTGGGGTCCCCTCTAAGCTCCAGCTGTGGCTGAGCTCACCCCAGCAACGCCATGCCGAAGCTGGCGAGTCCACAGCACTGCTGGGCTACCTTCCTCAGCAGCCCCAGCCCAGACTCTGGCACTGACCCCAAAGCCATCCCTTCTCCTGGGAGACTTTCCCACACTTAGCAAATGCACCGAATTAGCCTCATCCTGCACCCCCGTGTGCCAGGGAGCCCCGGAGCCATGGCTGGCCGTGGGGGGAGCCCAGCACTGCCGATACGACGGCAAGTGCTGACAGCCACCGCCTGGCCCCAGCATCTCTTGGCCCTGTGACATGAAAGGCCCCAAAGCCTCTGATGTGCGGAGAGGGAAGGGAAGGGAGAGGCTGACGCCAGTGCCAAGGGGAAACTTTCCTATGGCTCAGCCTCGGCCAGGGGAAAAACCAACAAACACTTGGGCACGCGCCGTCAACAAATAACCGCAAGCGCAGGAACGCAGCTGCAAGAGAGCAGGGCAGAACTGCAGCACCGGTGTCTTGTCCCTGCAGCCTGCGCATCCGGAGCCAGCCCCAGTGTGATGTTCCTCATCCCGCTGCCAGCCTGGCTGGCCCTGGGCATCCTGCAGCTGCCCCTTGGCAGCACCCGGGTAAGGACCCTCATGCCCCCGCTCCAGCCTCCTTGCAGACTCCCCACTGGGGGCTTCTCAGCACCCACTTCTCACACCCCAGCACTCTGTCACCACCCCAGGGTGGGGGGTATGGCATGGCCACAGCACCCATGGGGCTGCCCAGGGCCAAGGGGGATGGTTGTGGGGCTTTTCCCGTGCAGCAGGGAGATGATGCTAAACCCACCCAGGATATCCGAGACGCTCCTCAGCATCCAAGTGCCAGGGCAGGACTGGGCAGAGGGCCTGAGGCTGGAGAGAATACAGAGAGCAGGGGCAGACCCTGCACTGGGATGGGGAGGAAGGGGGTCTGCCCAGGGCAGGGCATCCAAACCAACCCCAAAGATGCTGCCTGCTTGGGAGGGTCCCCCTGGGCTGTGGCAGGGTGGTGGGGGAGCCTGGCAGCTGACGGGGATGTCCTTGTGTCCCCCAGGAGTGCCTGAGCCAGCAGCAGGCACTCAGTGCAGTGCAGCAGATGCAGAAACTGCTGGCAGCACAGGAGGCTGCCCACCTGCGGGGCATGCGTGGTCTCCGGCAGCAGCTCTCCATCCTCCAGAGCCACCTCCAGAGACAGGCCACCAAACGCAATGGTAACCCTGGCCAGGTGGCCGCTGCGGAAGTGACATCCCCATGGGGCCAGCTCAGACCCCCGAACACCCGGCGAGCAGCTTGGGCAAGGGACACCCAGCTCCTTGCTGGGGCTGGCATCGGCTCTAGTCTGGCGATGTCCATCCTCACCCTTGTCTGTCTGTCTGCAGAGACCTGTCCGCAGCCGGTGGTGCCAATGAATGGACGGATGCTGGGCTGGAGCATGCGGGTGGGCCACGACGTTCACTTCATCTGCGATGCCGGCTTCCGGCTGGTGGGCTCAGAGACACGCCCCTGCCGGCACAACCGCACGTGGAGTGGCACCCAGCCCTTCTGCAGAAGTGAAGTGGAGCAGGGTCGGGGCACCGTGGGCTCAGCCCTGCCTAGGGGCTCCTCCATTGCCCCAAACTGCAGGGTCCCATTGCTCTGTTCCCCTGGCTGCAGAGAGAGCAGCCCAGAGGCTGCAGCAATGGGCACTGAGGCTGGGCAGCAGGATGGGGTGAGGATGCACTTTTCCAGCTGTTGTTCATGAGCTCCTTCTCCCTAGGTATTGACGACTGTTCCAGCAACCCATGTGCCAACAGTGGGACCTGCGTGGATGGCAACCAGAGCTACACATGCCTCTGCCCCCGGGGCTGGTCAGGCCCCAGCTGCCAGAGCCCCATCTATGCCTGTAGGTACCCAGGTTTGGGCTGCGGAGGACGGGGATGCTCACAGGGACAGCACCCAGCCACGCTGTGCCCATCTCCCCTTTCCCTGGCAGCCCCCCAGGACCTCAGCTCCCAGTCACCTCCCTGTGCCCCCCACCCCAGCAGTGACACCTGCTCCCCCCCCACAGATGGGGTGACGCTGAGCAACACCTCCTTCAGCCGCCAGCCCCGCTGTGCTGAGGGCCACCTGGGCTCCCGGCGCTGCAGCTGTGATGCTGGCTTCCAGATGCAAGACGGCGGCATGTGCCATGGTAAAAAGGAGGTGAAGATGGCGGGGCGGGGGGGAAATGAGGGATGGCATTGATGGGAGCCCCAGCCATGGCCCACTCTGTCCTTCAGACGTGGATGAGTGTCAGCTCTTCCAGTCCAGCCCCCAGACCCGACTTTGCCTCCACGACTGTGTCAACCTCCCCGGCTCCTACCGCTGCCTCTGTCCCCCCGGCTACCTGCTCCATGCTGACCCAAACGGCGGGTGCAGGGCAGGGAGCATCCTGTGGGACCAGGGGTGCAGCAGGGAGCAGCAGAGACAGCCCTGCTCACTCCATGTCACCATCGCAGATGTGAACGAGTGCACTGGGAAGCAGCACAACTGCACCCAGGGCACCTTCTGCATCAACACCTTTGGGGACCACCACTGCGTGCACCCCAAGTGTCCCGTGCCGCGCCACAACACCAGCTACATCAAGACCTCTGCCTTGTGAGTACCGCGCATGGCTCAGGCTGTGTCATGCTCTCTCCCCCAGGTGATGGGTCCTACGGTGTCCTGGGGACCGTATCGTGTCACCCACGGGCAGGAGGGAGAATGCCAGCCAGCGCTGGTAGCAAGTTGCCACATGGGGTGCCCGGGTGTGTTTGGCATGCTCCCTAATGGTCTGAGGATGCTGGTGGCTGGGGGTGCAGGTGGGAGCACCCCAATACATGGTGGCTTTATCCAGGACCCTGGCCCCCCAGTGCCCCAGCCTGGGGTCAACGACACTGATTTCCCTCTGCTGCACACACACACAGTGCTGTCAGCTGCAAAACCCCCCTAGTCCTGCTCTTGAGACTAAACCACTTTGTGGCTGAGCACAAGCCACCCAAGCGGAGGAGCATCTCTGCTCTGGACAAGTTCCTCCACGGGAGGCACATCTGAGCCTGGCTCCATCCCTGGCCTCCAGCTGGGACTGTGGTACCCCTGGTCCCAGCCTTGGAGTGAGACCCAGAGCCGTGTCCCTGCAAGACATGGCATTTGCCTGGCAGAGGCAGGGATGGGACAGAGATCTGATGCCAGGCACGCTTGGATGTGGCTGTCTTGGGTGGCTCTGCCACAGGACCAGCAGTGGGGCTGGAGATGCTGCCTGTGGTGTGGGATAGGCTTGCTTGCAAGGATGCAGGCAGCTCCCTGAGAGCCAAACCATGGCACTGAGCGGTGGTACCCCTCCTCTCCTGGCAGCCAGTGCGAGAGGAACCCCTGCCCCATGGAGAGCCGAGCCTGCCGCCTGGCCGCCACCTCCATCTCCTTCCACTACCTGCCACTCCAGGCCAACCACACTGTGCCCCATGTCCTCTTCAAGATGTCCACCACCCGCTTCGTGGGCGACAGCCTGCGCTTCACCATCATGGGCGGCCGGGGCCAGGGTGTCTTTGCCGTGTGGCGCTCCGACCGGCAGACAGGAGAGCTGGTGCTTACCAGTCCCGTGGCAGGGCCAGCCACGCTGGAGGTGGAGCTGGAGATGAGCGAGTTCTCCCGCAAGGTCCTCCTGGGCAAGCACATCTTCAAGGTCACAGCCTTTGTGTCCCCGTACGAGTTTTGATCCCCTTTGGAGTTGGCTGTGGGGCCAAGCCAGGGTCTCTCCTGGGGAGTGATGGAGCGGGTTCAGCTCAGTGGTCCCAGTTCTTGTCCCATCAGAGACATCCCTCTCCCATACTCCTTGCTCATGGCTGGTAGGGCAAAGCCACCACAGCAGAAATGGTGCCCATCACAAAGGCTGCAAGGAAAACCCTGCAGGCAATGGGGGAACCAGCCTGGGGCTGCCCTCCTCTGCCATCTCCCCTCCTCTCTAACTGCATGGCAACACGGTGGGGCATGGCGAAGCGAGCTGATGGCATGTGGCGCACAGGTCTGGCTCCTTGTATCTTTGTAACCTCAAATAAAAGAAAAGTGGCTGTAGGAAGGGTGTCCTCCTTGCTCTATGCCTGCTGCATGGAAGCAGCCCCATACTCCTGGGGCAAGGCTGCTGGGGAGAGCTGGGGCCTGTAGTCACAGCAGGGCCCCCTTGCAGAGCTTGGGGTGCCAGTGGAGCTGTCAAGCCCACCCAGGATCACACAGTGTCCATGTTCCTCCCAGCACCACTGTTCCCGGGGGTCACACTGAAGAGCCCCTCCAGTGCAGGACTGGGAGATGGGCTGAACATGCTGCTCTGCACATCCTGCACAGCCAAGACTTGTCCCCAGCCCCTTTGGCAGGTGCCAGGAAAGAGCAGCGGGGCTCCCTGGCACCAGGTGAGCAGGGGACAGCAACCAGGAGCTGTGCTTCCTTGTGGCCAGCAGACATGCCTCTGCAATAGCTCTGACAGGACCTGACTGCATGGGCAGTCAAAGCTGCAGCTCCACAGTTCCTTGAGCACTCGAGCTGTTCCCCTGCTCCGAGCTCGAGGAGGGCGGGCAGCTGGGACAAAAGAGGTGCAGCCTCTCATGCTCCTTGGGCACCCCCTGTCACCACCAGCATGGCCAGACCCCTGCGCAGGGAGAGCTGCCAGCAGCTGGAGGTTGAAAAGGTGATGAGGGCCTTTGGGGACAGCAAGCGAAGGACATGCTGCCCCCAGGACACCCTTCCCTCTGCACACAGAAGCCGCCTTAGGTGAGTGTCCCGCCGGCCCGTGCCAGTGCCCCTCGCACAAAGCAGCTGCTGTGCACAGACCGCAGGCAGCTCATAAAGACCTCCTTATGCACCCGTGGCCGGCACTGCCACCAGCTCTGCTCGCCAGCTCCCAGGGCTCGGCACGGGCACTTTGCTGGAGGAGGGGGAAAAGCCTTCCTAGGGGCAGCAGAGCTGCGGGCTGGGCCAGTGGGGCTGGCCATGCTGCGTCACAAAAATCCACAGCTGGCCCGTGCTGACCGAGGAGAAATGCTGAGACACAAAGTAGAGAATTACAAGGATAAATATTTATTCCTGCACATGAGGTGTCCCAGCCAAAATGGGCACCCCAAATGTGGTTTTGCACAGGTTTCTTACACCCTTCAAACCTTCAGGTACAACACGACTTGACTAATCACTAACACCCACATTACTGATTACTAATCATAGTAAAACATTGCAAAGCAACAATATTTTTCCAGCACTTTTGCTGCTTGTCTATTGATCCAGATGTCCCTGGAGTCAGTCTTGCTAGAGTTACTGATCTATGATGCCAGAGGACACTGGGAGGGTTTCAAAGCCGTGTCAGAGGGGCTGGGATGCTGGTGTTATCTCGGTTGCCCAGGGGCATCCTTTATCCTTCATGGACAGCTCTAAGCTTCCATGAAGCAAACCCCTTATTCCCAGGGCCAGGCTGTCCATTAGTTTGTTTTACTTAAGCACGAACAATACCAAAGTCTCCAGTAAAATTCCACTACATCGTTACATCACAGTATATAAACTGAACTAATGTATATATTTAAAAAGTTAATACATTTTCATACTATAAAGACTGGTTGATATAATAGTTAGGGAAGGTAATCTTCCTAACAGCTTCCAGGGAGTGGGACGGCTGGCCCCAGCTCACAACCATCCTTCCACTGCCGGCTCCCAGAGCCTCTCCAGCCCCGGCCACCTGCAAAGTCTTGGGTGTTTTCAGAAAAACACAGCTAGTGTTACCAGCAACACTTCACAGCTGGCTTTGGGGAAACACAGGCACCCTCCTCTCCTCCCAAGGAGGCCTTTTGAAGGATCATGACTTTTCTGGCCTTCCCCATTCCCAGGATGATTCACTACCTCCCTTAGCGACGAAAGGCCGGGGACAGAGAGATGGTGCAGGGCTTTCCAACCCAAATCACCCACTGCCACCAGTCTTAGCTTGTCCCTTCGCTTGTAAGACCCCTGCCTGCACCTCAAACGATGTGACACAGGGGTGGGTGCTGAAGGGCTGGTGCTGCAGTGGGCTGGGGGGAGAAGGACCTGTCCTCAGCGGGGAGAAAGGCCTCCCCC